TTGAGACACTGGTTTCTTGGTATTTATATTATCAGGTTTGAATGTGATATTTTCCTGTTAGAGTGAAATAAAAATCTGATGTTTAAAATTACTATAAAAGAGCATTATTAATTAACATTGTGATTAGATCATAGCAATTCCTCTTTTTGGAGTGTGCACTAAGTGCCATGAGCCACATGCTTTACATGTACTATCTCATTTAACTTACACAGGAAGCTGTGAAGCAGACGATGTATTTACTCACGTTTGTGGAAGCTGAGTTGAAAAAGGTTAAATAATGTTCTCAAAGTTGTAAAGCTCGTAGGTTGGTAATTAAAAACTTGAATATAGACCTCTTGGAGTTAAAGTCACTATTTCTCATCACTGCATTACGAACAATCAGTAACATGCCATTTATTTAGATACTAGCTTTCATAAAATTAATATGTATTTTCTGAAACTTTTTAGTTTCCAAAGCTCTTTTTAGCTGTTAGAGTGATTGCTAGATTATATTCCATAAGATATTTCAAAACTGATGCATGAATTAAACAAGAACTTGTTATATTTATGTTTTAATCATAAAAATGACACTTATTATTGAATAACAACAGTTAACATATATGCAGTCTGAAGAATGACACCATGCTAACTGCTTACATGTATGATCTAACTAAATCCTCATATTAATACTGGGGAGGGAAGTGTTATCAAGCTATGATGAACTGATGTCTACCAAATAAACTTCCTAATTTCAAATAGAGAGAATTATCACCAGAATTACATAGCTTTTCTGAATGAAAATTCTACATGTTAATCTGATCACAATTCTTTTTAAATTTATGTTTTCAAACAGTTTTTCATTTAGACACAATTGCGAGTGACTTCTGAGACAACTAGGGAGGTGGATTGTTTGGATCCTCTGTGGGTGTTAATCTAAACTTCCCACAAACAATGTTTCTAGCTTATAGAGATTTATCAACTCAACAAGTATTTGTTTAGGGCCTCCCTGGACAAACATGAGGTAGGTGTCGTGAAAAGTTAAAATATTTTTTAAGATGGGTCTTGCCCTTTAGCCATTCATAAGTATTTTCAGAGGCATGATATAAGCACATGTATCATGATATATTTGCAAATGCAAATAATACTGTCCTAATTAGATGAGTTTCCAAGACAGTGCAGTGCAACCCAATGTAGCGCATGATACATGTTAAGGGAATTGAGTTCAGAAGGGAGAGAGCTCATTTGGGGCTAATGTGATCAATAGGGATGTAACAGGCAGAACAGATTAACTATATATAAAGCAGATGTCAGCTGGGGTTTGCAGTTTACTGTCAAAGTTGGGTTTATTTGAAATCACTCCATTTTCCACAGTTTCAAGCAGCAAGAGGCCCAAAGTTTTCTCTGCAAGGTTTATGATTGCATGGAAAAACACTATGCCCACATATTGTTCCTTCCAGTGTATGAACAATCTCTCTGGCCCTCATCTTTTTTTTTTTTCCTTCTGAATTGCATGGATCTGAACCTCATCTTTATCTCTTTTTGAGAACTACACAGATCCTTCCCAGATTTCCACAAATAAAATTAAAATGTAACAACACCTTCAAGTCATTTTGTGTGGATAATAGGGTTTAATTTGAGGAAAGATAGAAGGGGTGAGTACATTCTCGGGACACCACAAGCTAAGCATCAAATTATAGACACTCCTGTTAGGGATGTTTTCAACCAATAAACCGCCAGAGGTTTTACTGTGGGGCCTTCATCCCATATAGTACCTGGTTTCATGGCAGCTCAGAGGTGTTCCTAACTCTTTATAATTTCTCTACCTCACTCCTTACTTTCTCATTCACTTAAAACAATGCCAAGTTCTTTTCACTTTGCAGTCTGGAGCTATTCATTACTTTCTCGTTTCTTACTCTCAAGCTCCCAGCCAACCCACAAAGGCCAAAAGCCATCTATAAAACAAGATACACTCTCCTTAGGAGGTACTTGTATTTTACATAGCTCTATTTCCATATCTATATATTTTTCTCCTCTTAGCCCCAAGTTGAATTGTAAATGTGTCAAATCTTCCACTGAGTGGTCATTCTTCTTTTTCAATGAACAGCTCAAGTTATTGGAAACTGAATAAAACCTATCTGTTTGTTAGAGGCGTCTGGGTGGCTCCTCAGTTAAGTGTCCAACTCTTGATTTTGGCTCAGGTCATGATCTCAGGATGATGAGATGGAGCCCTGCATTGGGCTCTGTGCTAGGTGTTCAGACTGCTTGAGATTCTCCACACTTAGCATCTGTCCTCAAAAACAAAAACGATATCTGATTGTTATAAAATTATTTGTATCAAGCCAGAGTCTGTGTCTCTGTAATTTCCCTTACTTGGCCTTAGAGTTTTCCCTTGGACCACACAGCAAATGTCTAATGCTCCCACATGTGATTTCCTCATTAGTTTGAACTGTCCCCATATAAACCTTCATCATCCTACACCCTCTCCTTTAAACCTTTTTCCATATGGTGCCCCTAAAATATGGTGGCCAGAACTGAACACAATTGTCCAGATTTTGTCTTATTAGTGAAGGACAGAACATCTCCTTGATTTGAAATACTACACTTGTTAATGAAGACATATACTCATTTTTTATAGCTACAAAGCAATCTATTGAATTTATTGACAATGATTTCTGTTTTCCTCACATGTGTTGCTGCTATATATCTCTCCGATCATGTTTTTATATAACTATCATGATGTAAAAATTCTCGTTCTTATTTTCTTTACTCTCAAATTTTATTCTTCATTCTCTTGATCCAATTAATTCTTTTGGATTTCTCCACTTCCAAACTCTGGTTTGTATTATTTTTAACGTTCTCTATAAAATATTTCTAATTATATATGAAGCAAAAGAACAGTAAAATATTTCTCATGAAACTGATAATGGCCCATCTTTATTTTGTGCCTATTACTATCAGGAATATGAACATACATGACAGTAGTTTCCTAAAATAGTCTTTTTTGACAATCTCATATTTTAATTTAGGAATTCTAATGAGTATTCTTATTCTTTAAAGCTTCAAATAAATACACTTTTTTCCTTTCAATAATTGTTTTCTCAGCTCCAAGGTATATTGCTAATGACAACTCCTTTTTAAATTATAAGGTAATATATCCTCCTGATATTCCCAAACAAGAATAGTTACCCAATGTTACCCAGTTACAAAAATGTCCCCAGTTTCCTAAAATCATTCCATTTCTCCGTCTGTTTTAAACGAGACATTTGTTTACAAAATATCCTAAAAATTATGCAAACATGTATTAATCATTCATTGATAGTTATTATTCAAAACTACTTACCTTCTAAATTTTAGGCTCTAAATGAGTCTCCAAAGGGTAAAATAGAATGAAACGGAGCAAAAGATGCACTGATGATTTCAAGGAGGCCAAAGTCTAGTGGAAGGAAAAGATAATTTACACAGATAATGACTTATGTACTGAGTGGTGAATCTTATGCTAAGGTTATGTAAAAGGTAATGCTGGAGCATGTAGGAATGAGCACATGAGGGTGGAGCAATGAGAGAAATGGGCTTGTTTGAGAAAAGTGCATGACTGTTTGACAGGGAATGGAGTATCTAGAATTTGAGCTTTTCAAAATGATTGACCCCTGTGACTTTTAGGATCTTGTGTAGATCTCAACTCTGACACATCTGTGTTTTCAGCAGAGAGTGACAAATTAAATGTAAAGGGTTTTTTTTAGATCTTAACACTTTGATGGGTGGTTACACATTTTAGCCTGCAGTTTGTGACAGCAGGATGAAAGGAGTTTCATTGCTCTTAAAATACATTTACGCTTTCCCTAGAGACAGTGAGAGGATCAGATTTTCCTTTGAGATACAATATTCTGTTAGTGATATAGAGACTGACTAAAAGTAAGAAAAACATTTAGAAAAACACAAAGAATCAGTGACAGTTTGTAATGATGAAGTAAAGGAAACAAAAGATCAAGATGATCCCCTATTTTCTGGCTTAGGAAATGGGTAGGATTATACATACATTGCATATAAAGAAGGTAGGGGCAGGTTGAAAAGCAGTGGGATGATAGCTTTGATCTGGAGTATTATGAGATTGAGATATGTGGGGAGATGTACATGTGAGTTCAATAGCACTTGCAAAACTTAACGTGAAACCTCAGGAGGAATGTGGTAGTAACCATCATTTACATATAATAGATGAAACTGTAGGGTTGGCTGGTATTAGCTGAGGGGTAGAGTCACGGAGACCAGCACCATGGAAAATTAGAGTGTTTAAGAAGAATAAAGTTAATATAGACTATGAAAGAGTGTTAGGAAAGCAAAAGGAAATTTAAAGCAATCAGTGCCTAGAAGTCAAGAAAGAAGATAATTTGAAGGAAGGTCCAAGTTATTTATTGCTTTGTAGCACACCAATCTAAGTGTGAGGACTTAAAATAGCACCTATCATACCAGTATTTCTTAGGTTTCTGTGTGTCATGGATTTGGGAAAGGCTTGGCTTGGTGGCTCTGGCTGAAGTTCTCTGATGTAGTTGCAGTCATATGGTGGATGGAGGGGCAGCATCTGGGCAATATCTTTGTATCTGTCTCTTTTCATTAGTCCCAAAGCTTCTCCATGGGATCCCTTCACATGAGCAATTTGGGCTTCCTTTCTACAAGACAGCTTCAGGACAGTGAAACTGCTTACGTGGTGGCATAGAGTTCTAGTTCAAGAGTTCCAGCTAATAAGCTGCATATATTGCCTTCTAATACCTAACCTCAGAAGTTATCCAGTGTCATTTCCACAGAGTTTATTGGTTGCAGGCTCATGGGGATTAAAGTGAAGAGGATATGATTCTACCTCTTGATGTGGAAATGGCAAGATGCTGGAAGAGCATGTGGAATGGAAGAAACTGTTGCTATCTTTTGAAAATTCAGTGTGCAACATGAAGAAAGAGACTTGAAATGTTGCATGCTGTGGAGACCTAAAGTATATGGCAATGGCTAAAACATGCCTATTAGGTTTAGCCATGGCAAGGGGACAAAAGAAGGAAAAAACAAGATTTCAGTGACTGTAGAATTGAATAGGAGGTAAGGAAGTAGTGAGAGACAGTCTAACAATTTTATTTATAAATATTAAAGATAAAGAATAGAGTAGACTAATATAGTAGGTTAAGCCTTACAAAGATTAGATGTTTTAATAAGGGAAAGACTTGAGTGTGTTTATATGCTGAAGGGCAAGTATGTAGAACATGGATTGGCAAGTTATAGCCCTTGGATCAAATCTGGCCTATGGCCTGTTTTCCTAAATAAAGCTTTATTGGAACACAGCCACATGTTTGGGCTTCAACAACATAATTGATTAAACAGAGACAGTTTGACCCACATACTCTAAAATATTTACTATTTAGCACTTCATAGAAACATTTTGCTAAACCCTGATCTAGGAGATAAAATGGTAGAAAATATATGAAAAAATGAGAATTACTTGGTAGAGCAAGATTCTTGAAGAGCTGAAAGTCTGTAGGATCCAAATATCTGGCCACATTTTTACTAACATAGTAGCTAGTCAATAGTAGGCACTGAGAAGTACTTGTTGAAATTATGATTATATGAATGAGAACAACAACTTTACTAACAACTCAATCACTCATTCAACAGTGAAAAACAAAAGAATAACTATTGATCCAGATGTCTTTTCCAGTGAAGTGTGGTGTAGAGTAAGATAGCTGGTATGAATGTGTCGTTATGTTCTGATCCCTACTTTCCCTTTTACTTAGTATAAGTTACTTATCAGTTTAGTGTGAATGGAAAATAGAGTTCAGTCCTATGAAATATGCAACTTGAGGTCCCAATGAAATTAATAATTTTTTTCCGAAAAATAGAAGAGTTAACTTTGTTCACCTGGTGGAATTACTTCCTGCAGTGAGTAGCCTGCGACTACCTGGGACATTTAACCTGTAGTCCACCTTCCTAAGAAATCTAGTCAAGGTGGTTTTTTACCATGATTCTTCATCTGGAACAGATGGTGTGTTCATCTTCACAGTATGTTCTCAGAATTAATAATAATAATAATAATAATAATAATTTTATAATACACCCAATAAATGGTAGCCACTGTTTTAGTTGTTGTTTGTTTGTTAGCTTTAGAAATCACTGATAAGCCAGGTCGAGTAGCATGATGATTGAAGAGTTTTGACAAGAAACTGAATGAGAGAGGGCGCCTGGGTGGCTCAATCAGTTAAGTTTCGGCCTTTGGCTCAGGTCATGATCCCAGGGTCCTGGGACAGAGCCCAGTATCAGGCTCCCTGCTCAGCAGGGGAGCCTGCTTCTCCCACTCCCTCTGCCTGCAACTCCCCCTGCTTGTGCCCTTTCTCTCTCTTTCTGTCAAAAAAATAAATAAAATCTTAAAAAAAATCTGAATGAGAAGAAAAAAAAGAAGAAACTAAATGAGAAGGTTGTCAGCATGAATGAAAAGAGGCACTGATTGATATATTCCAAATAAATAGTAAAGAATGGTTATGACATGTCCTATGTAGTAGAGAAGAGAAGTGGAGAAATGGAGAAAAAGAGACTTCTAAGATTGTCAAGATCATGAATTTGGAAACAACAACATGTTGAGGAATACAAATTCAAATTTTCTTGCTATGACTTGAAGCCCTTACACAAGATATCATTAGGTACTTATTAAAAATGATGATTCTGTTCCAAATAAGCAAATCACGAGTCATGTTCAAGATCAAAAAGAACTGACATTTGGTAATAAAAATCATTTGGCAAAAGTGTCCCTGCATACTTATGCAGGTGGGACAGTTTTACTTTTATAACACAGTTTTACTTTTATATTTTATTATTGTAAACATGAAAAGAAATTCTTCTCTGATTTTTCCCCCATAATAGGATTGTGTCCAGCAATAATGTAGGATATTATTGCAATGGCTTTCAAAACTGAGACTCTATCACCTCATGGGATGAAGGGATTGAAAATGTATGGGACATCTTAATTTTGTCACAAAGACATAGGAGTGCTAATGACATTTAGTGACAGTACTGTGCAGAGGGCCTGCACAGGCTCAGCCTTCAAGAGCCACACGTGGGGACGACTGCTGAGCATGCAGGGTGCCATTGCTTTTCCAAGTAGCTTTCTTCCAGGCTTCGTCCAGTGGTTGGCATGGCCTGTGGACATTTGCCAGAAAAACATGAAAAAATCCCAGGAAATTAGCAAGGGTAAAAGAAAAGAGGATAGGACAACTACCTCTCAGAGAGAGCAGAGGAACTCCGAGATAATGCAACAAAAGCAGAAGGCAGCTAATGAGAAGTCTCTGCAGACAAGAGAAGAATGATGCCTGTTTGGAAAACTTGGGTGCTACTCCCAACTCAGTATATCAAAACTCTATGACCAAGGTTTTGGGGCATCTATCTATCTATCTATCTATGTCATATATAATAACATATCCTTATAAAACTTTCAGCCTGACTTAGTGTGATGTTTTAGAACCATTCTTCAAAGAATAAAACGCTAATTATGCTTGTGAAAAACAAATACCCAAGAATACTAAACATCCTGTAGCGCCTTGGATAATCCGATACAATTAAGAATTACTTAGACAATAGGAAATTTGTGAAGACTATATAGCACCTATAATTGTAAACATTAATATGGTGCAAAGCTTTCCTTTAAATGAAAAAGAGCTATGCCTGGATTAACATTGAAGAACATTTTCAAAATCGTCACATAAATTGGAATCTTTCCCTAGAATAGAGATAGTTATTTTAAAAATTCCTACAAAGACAATAACATATTTTTATTTATTTATTTATTTTAAGATTTATTTATTTATTTGAGAGAGAGAATGAGAGATAGAGGAGAGCATGAGAGGGGGGAGGGTCAGAGGGAGAATCAGACTCCCTGCTGAGCAGGGAGCCTGATGCGGGACTCGATCCCGGGACTCCAGGATCATGACCTGGGCCGAAGGCAGTCGCTTAACCAACTGAGCCACCCAGGCGCCCGACAATAACATATTTTTAAAATGACACAGTGGATTAACAAATGCTATTTCCCTAGAGGGAAGTTTCAAGAATATCTTAAGAGTCAGAAAAATCCTAAGATAAATATTAAGTTGGAGGTTGTTTTTTGATAAAATGAAATTTCATATTGACTAAATTCTTACATAGAAAACTAAGATGATTATTTAACTTAAAGATATTTCCTTTTTTTTTTAAAGATTTTTATTTATTTATTTGAGAGAGAGAGAATGAGAGAGAGAGAGAAAGCACATGAAAGGGGGGAGGGTCAGAGGGAGAAGCAGACTCCCTGCCAAGCAGGGAGCCCGATGCGGGACTCGATCCCGGGACTCCAGGATCATGACCTGAGCCGAAGGCAGTGGGCTAACCAACTGAGCCACCCAGGCACCCAACTTAAAGATATTTCCTTAGTAAATTCTCTCTCCTTTAATCTGAATGTATGTTGTCTTTTGGGGGATGGTTCAAACCCTGACATTTGAGATTATCAATTTATTATTATTATTATTTTAGTATTTTTAAGTTCTGAACACAAAATTATACTCAGGGGAGAAAAAAAGTGAACAAATTGTATTTGGAGGGGAGTTTTTACTTTTTATGTCTCTGTCCTTCCTTCCTTCCTTCCTTCCTTCCTTCCTTCCTTCCTTCCTTTGGTGTGGGTGGGTAGGTGGGTATGGATGATTTGTGTATCTTTTTCATATTTTCCCAGTAAATCTTTGACAAAGATACTTAGTCTTGTCTGATGTTTTGTGAAAACTCATTAATATATTTTGAAGAAATCCTATCTAATTCCACTTTTTCATAGACTTATGTATTTTTGCTCTTTAAAAAAAAACCAATAAATTAAAACAACTGGAAGTTTGGAGATTTAAGATAGCATCTTTGACTGTCACCATGTAGTAACCTGTTTGCAAGGAGTAAGATTCTGAAGAAGAAACCCTGTAACCCTGAGGTGTCTGTTAACATGATTGCCAAAGCAGGGAAATTCCAGGTTTGAGACAAAGCGGTAGAGAAAGCCGGTGAGCCACACAGGGCAAATGTTTCTTTCTGTTTTCATTAACAGTGAGTGGAAACAAGACAGGGACTTTTGGCAGAAAATGTAGACGGGCAATTACAACCTGAAGTTGGAGTGATTAGACCAATTTCTTTCCTGGACAAGCTGGAATATGGAGGCAGAGAGGCACTTAATTCCCTCCCTTTGAAAAAGGAAAAACCTAGTTAGCAGGTTTTGATACCTTTCGCAAAATCAGCAGCTGATAAAGCAACAAAGATCATCCCTGAGCAAGCTTTCTCCTAATCCAAATCTCTTAAATGAATGAAAATGAAAGATGTATCTTGGAAGGATAAGAAAAATAGGATTCCATTAAAAAGAATACCATCGTAGATAATAGTATATCTGTTAAAATGTGCACGTAATAGATTTAAATTCTGGTGTTTCTTTCATTTATTCATTTATTTATTTTTCTAGCATATACTAACTGAGGCATATTTAGTTTCAACTGTAGTTATAATAAATTACCCAAAACTTTGAGTCTTAAAACAGTACAAGTGTGTTATCTTATAATTCTGATGTGGGTCTCTTGCCAGATTAAAATTAAAGGGACCACAGGGTGCATTTCTTTCTGAAGACTCTAAGAGATGGGGGTGGGCCTGGGGACCAGTTTCATTGCTTATTCAGGTTTCTAGCAGAATTCTGGTCCGTGTGGTTGTAGCACTGAGACCCCTGGTTGTTTGCAGTCTGCCAACTGACTGCAATTACTATCTTCTAGATGCTGCCCACATGCCTTCTCCCACGACAGGCACCCTTCCTCCCTTCTCAAAGCCAGCGGTTCCAGGTCTGGGCTTTTCACACGGTTGAGTCTCTCCCCTCCTTCTGTTGTCCCATCCCTCAACCAGCTGTATTCCTCTTGAACTTCTAAGAGCTCATACATTTAAGTTGAATCCACCTTGATAATCCAGAATCATGTCCTTCTTTCAATGTGCATAACCTTTATACCATCTGCAAATTGCCTTTTGCCACTTACAGGAACACATTCACAGTTTCCAGGAATTTGGACATGGGGATCCTTGGGAAACAATTATTCTGCCTAACACGAGTCGCTCATATTTATCAGGTGTTTTGCTAGGTATCAAAAATAACATGCACAGTGAAAATTAAGATTGCCTTTGGGATCATAATGAGGTAGGGTAGGCAGATAATCAATCAGTCACATAAATGTAAAATGACATATGTGATGTGTCATATAAAATAGGCTACAGTATGCTTTTGCTCTAATAAACTACCCACAAATATTAGTGGCCTAAAAATAGCAAGCCCCTCATGCTACATATTGTGATTTGTCAGCAAGAGGCTGCTTGCTCCAAGGCAGTTCTCACTGGAATCCATTCCACAAGAGCAGATACCCTCTGACCTGTTGGGAAGGAAGAGTGTTGTACACTGGATCTGTAAACTCCTACCGAAACATGACATCCGACTCTTCTACTTGCCTCTCACTGGTTAACCTACTCACACATCCACACCTAACTTCAACCTGACAGGAAAGATACAGGCCTACCATGTGCCTGGGAGAAAAACCAGAAATATCTGGAGGTCACCTACTAAATAGATATGAATAAGGGTTGAAGAAGGAAGGCCCATATTGGTAAGAGAGGACTTTTCAGGGGAACTTACTTGATCTGAAATGTCAGATTCCCTGAAAAATGACTTTTTTTAAGTTGGCGCCATAGGATGAGCAGGACTTTTAAGAAGTGACAGCCTAGGGACACCTGGGTGGCTCAGTCATTAAGCATCTGCCTTCAGCTCAGGTCATGATCCCAGGGTCCTGGGATCGAGCCCCACATCGGGCTCCCTGGTCCGCGGGAAGCCTGCTTCTCCCTCTCCCACTCTGCTTGTGGTCCCTCTCTCGCTGTGTCTCCGTCAAATAAATAAATAAAATCTTAAAAAAAAAAAAGAAATGGCAGCCTAATCACTGTGTCTTTTAAACGTTTATCATGGGCTGAATGTTTGTGTCCCCACAAAATTCATAAGTTGAAATCTAATCCCCAATGTGATGGTATTAGGAGATGAAGCAACTGGGAGGTAATTAATGCAGGAGGGTAGAACCTTCATGAATGGAGTTAGTGACCTTCTGAGAAGAGACCAGAGAGGGAGCTGGATCTGTCTCCCACACATGAGACTGCACAGGAAGTTGGCAGTCCACCGCCCAGAGAAGGGCTTTCATGAGAACCTAACCGTATTGGCACTCTAATCTCGGTTTTCAGCCTCCAGAACTGAGAAATAAATTTCTTCTATTGCTTATAAGCAATATCAAATTATAAGCAATAATAAGCAAATTATTGCTTATAAGCAATAATTTAAGACAATAATTTAAGACTCCATCTATGGCAATTTGTTACTGGAGCCCTGACTGACTCAGACACAGTGTTTATACTTATATTCTTCACAGTTCTGGCCACAAGTGCTATGTTTTTTTAATTTTATTTATCTATTTTATTTTTTTAAAGATTTTATTTGAGAGAGAGAGAGAATGAGAGATAGAGAGCACGAGAGGGAAGAGGGTCAGAGGGAGAAGCAGACTCCCTGCTGAGCAGGGAGCCCGATGTGGGACTCGATCCCGGGACTCCAGGATCATGACCTGAGCCGAAGGCAGTCGCTTAACCAACTGAGCCACCCAGGTGCCCTTTATTTATCTATTTTAAAGAGAGAGAGAAAAGGGCAAAGGGGAGGGAGAGGGAGAGAGAATCTCAAGTAGGCTCTGTGCTGAGCATGGAGCCTGATGTGGAGCTCAATCTCACGACCCTGAGATCACGACCTAAGCCAAAACCAAGAGTCAGATGCTCAACCAACTGAGCCACTCAGGCGCCCCTGTAAACACTACTTTACTTGTCATGGACAAAGTAAGAGTAAAGATTACCTTGATATATAAAATATGTATTCTTATAAAGTGAGAGGAAGAAACAAACAAAAAACCCCCAAGAAACTGTGAATGAGGATTCCCCAATGGCTTGAATAATTTCAAGAGGAAAGAAAATTGAGTTGTTACCTAACTATAGTTGTATAAACATGATCCATATAAAAGTCCTTGGTATTTAGGTTTGCTTTAGATTCCACATAAAGCAAATTGTTTCTGCAAAACTTCATCCTTAAATTACATTAATTTGAATTCTATTTGTTTTATAATGTTAATAAATTATTTTGTTGAGGGGCGCCTGCGTGGTTCAGTTGGTTAAGCAACTGCCTTCGGCTCAGGTCATGATCCTGGGGTCCTAGGATTGAGCCCCACATCTGGCTCTCTGCTTAGCGGGTAGTCTGCTCCTCTCT